GGAGTGGGAGGAGCGGCGCTGCCAGGTGCTCAGTGGGTACGCCTTCATCTGCCAGGAGGCGGGCGCCCCCCTGGCCGGCTGGCGCAACCGTACTGGCTGTGGTGAGGCACTGCCCTTCCCCGGGCACTGGCCCCTGACACCATCTGCCATTTCTCCCCTCCACGCCTTTCTGACTCCCTCCCATGGCCCCGTCTGGCTTCCTCGCGGGGCTCCCCAATTCCCACTTGAAGATCAAGACCTTCTTTCAACTGGATTCTTGCTCTGCTCCCAGTCTTGGTTGTGGTGAGGTGCCTCCCCGTGGGTTTCGACTCATAGTGGCCCAGTGCACAGCACAGAGACACTGCCCTGTCCTGGGCCGTCTTTCCCCGAGGCTGTTAGGTTTGAGCCCATGGGAGCCTTGGTGGCATAGTGGTTACATGGGGCTGCTAATTGCATGGGCAGCTGTTCCAAACCAGCAGCCGCTCCCTGGGAGAAAAACGAGGCTTGCTACTCCTGTGAAGCTTTACAGTCTCAGGAAGCCGTGCTACACTGACCTCTGGGGTCACCACGGGTCAGAATGGCCCCAGGGCACTTAGTTTGGGCTCTTTTGGGAGCCCATTGTTGCAGTCACTTTGTCAATCCGATTCACGAGGGTCTTTTTTTTTTTTGGCTGATCCTCTACTTTACCAAGCAGGATGTCCTTTCCACCTGGGAAGCCCCACCCCCATCTCCTCATGCCTTGGCTAAGCTCCTCCTCCTCTCCCAAGCCCAGCCTTGCTCCTCCTCTTGCTGCACAGGCTGGGGAGGACCCCCCCACCCCCAAAAATGCATCAAGCTGCCCACAGCTCCTGCCTCCCTGTCTGTGACCACCTCTGTGCTCTTTTCCTGTCCCCTCTGCCATCTTTCGACCTCATATAGCCCAGACCCTTTGGGCCAGTCCGGCCTGTCCACCTTCTGACCGTGTCTCTGTCCCCTCAGCCATGGAGTGTCCAGCCAATACCGAGTATCAGAGCTGCATGACCCCCTGCCCGGCCTCCTGCGCCAACCCAGTGGCCCCCCAGGACTGCGAGGGCCCCTGTGTGGAAGGCTGCGCCAGCCTGCCCGGCTATGTCTACAGCGGGGCTCACAGCCTCCCCTTGGCCGACTGCGGCTGCGTCAGTGACGGCGTGTACTACCAGGTCCGGGCTGGGCGCACAGGGACCTGGGTGGGGCGGGGGCAGCAGAGGTGTGAACGCAGACCCAGGTTAGGGACAAAGACCAGACCTTCTGTTCCCGACCCTTCTTCCTTTCCCAGCGAGGTGACAGCTTTGTGACCCAGAACTGTTCCCAGCGCTGTACCTGTGCCAGCTCGGGGCTCCTGCTGTGTGATCCCTTCAGCTGTGGAGCCGGGGAAGTCTGCACCCTGGGGAACCACACCCGCGGCTGCTTCCGAGGTGGGCCTGGTTCTCCCCCTCCTGGACTGCAAGCGAACCCCCTACCCTGTGCCAGGCCTGGGACTTCTCCACACAGATGTCAGAATGCCTGTGCTGTTGAACCTGCTCTTTGGGGCTGGGTCCCTTCCTTTTTAGGGAGGGGCAGAGGGAAAAGGCGTGCCGTCCGCTCAGCAGCCACTTGGCCAAGCACGGAGCTCGGTCGTGTCCCTGTCCTTGTGGTCAGGTGCCAATCAGTCGGTTCCGACTCATGCCCAACAGAAGGGAACACTGCCTGGCCCTGTGCCATCCTATTCTTAGGTCCCCGTTACCCGCTTTAAGCGCTGGCTAGTGACCATGTCTTCCCCATGGAGAGGAGAGACGGGAGTCCAGAGAGGGTCAGCAATTTCCCCAAAGCCCAGGGCAGAGCCAGGTCCACTGGCCTCTGGCCAGACACGCCTAGCCACATGCCACTGCTTCCTTCGCTGGGCCCTGGCCAGGCTTCTCCCTGGTCACGAGTGTCCTGAAGGAGCCATGTGGTGCAGCAAGTTAAGGGTTGGGCTTCTAACCTCAAGGCTGGTAGTTCAAACCCTCCAGTAGCTCCAAGGGCCAAAGATGAGGCTCTCCTGCTCTGGTAAAGATTTACAGTCTAAAAAAATATCTACTTACAGTCCCTGAAATCCTAAGGAGCAGTTCTGTTTTGTTCTGTAGGGTTGTTTTGAGTCAGACTCAATTCGATAGATGGTTTGGGTTGTTGGTTTGCTTCATAGTTTTATTGAGCTAGGGTTTGGGTATTGATATGAGTGTCCTGACAGATCTGGGGGTGGCGGGGGGTGGTCAGGTGCTGACCTTGGGGCTTTTCTCAAAACCCCTTCCATCCGTGCAGAAAGCCCGTGTCTACAGAACCCCTGTCAGAACGATGGGCGGTGTCAGGAGCAGGGTGCCACTTTCACCTGTGAGTGTGTGCCTGGTTATGGGGGAGACCGCTGCACAGAGCCTCGGGACACTCCACCCCCCGAGAAGCCAGGTGAGAGCCCCATCATAGCTCCTCCCACCAGCAGCTGCCAGGCAGTTATACCGCTTGGCCGCCGCCAAGTCAATGCCAACGTCTAAGCGGCCCCATGGGATAGGTTAGAACTGCCCCTGTGAGCTTCCTAGACTCCTGACAGGAGGAAGCCCAACTCACGGCCTTCGTGTCCATGCAGACTCAGTGACCCCACAGGACAGGCTGGAACTGCCCTGTAGGTCCCCAAGACTTCCATGAGCAGAAAGCCTTGTCTTTTTTTCCCTCCGAGCGCTGAGTTTCGAACTACTAACCTAGGGGTTAGCAGCCCAATGTGTGAGCACCACACCATCAGGACTCCTTGGAGCAGGGGAGGGTAGGTGTTAATGTTTCGATGCCAGAGTTCGCAAGACAAGGATTCTCAAGGGATGTGAGTGCCCTCACACCCACCTCCTACCCTTTGCCCCAGTCCCCTTTTTCTCAGCCCCAGATCCCCACTTCTGTGACCTGAATGCTTCACCCCTGATACTTCCCCATCTTGCACCCCTCCACACCTGTTCATATCTTTCCCTATCCAACACCTGGATTTCCTTGACCCTCTGGGCCAGTGGTTCTTCAACGTGCTTTATCTTGCCTAAGTCTGGCTGCGCGGCGATGACGCACTGGGCTGCGAGCTGCAAGGTCTGCAGTTTGAAACCAGCAGTCAGCTCCAGGGGGAGTAAGATAAGGCTTTCTACTCCCGTAAACAGTTCCAGTCTTGGAAACTGTAGCTCTACCCTGTCCTGTGGGGTCGCTGTGAGTCAGCATGGACTGGGCACCAGTGAGGAGGAGCTATAGTAAGCCTGGGGTGGGAGGGGTGGCTTGGTGAGACATCCCGGGACCTATCCCACAGAGGGACTCCAGAGGGCTGGAATGGACCCGAATCTGCATTTTAGGAAGCCCCTGGGTGGTGGAGGAAAGAGATTGCAGGGTTACATTTTGAGAGACACAGGCAGACGTGAAGGTTCTGTGTGGGTCTCCAGAGGACAGCGGCCGGCTGGAGGAGCCACCCAAAGCCTTATGGGAGTGTCCAGAACCAGACAGGGTTCTTGAAGGGGGGTGGCAGCTAAGGTCGTGAACCAGCCACCCCCAGAGATGTCCACTGAGGGGGACAACCGAAGACGTAAAGGGAACACCTCCTCCCTGACCCCCCAATCCCTCACTCCACCTCTCGGTTTCCTTTCCCTGCACCCCAGAAGCGTCCAACCTGGTGGCCGTGCTACTGGGCATGCTGGTACCCATGGCTTTCATAATGCTGGCAGTGACCAGGAAGTACCTGCACAGGAAGAGGAAGAGGAGGTGAGTGCAGGCCAGGGGCTGGGAGGGGGAGTGACCAGGGGAGTGGGAAGCTGGCACGCGGAGTTCCTTGTTTCTCGTGCTTCTCAGGGAGAAGACGCTGAGCCAGAACCTGGCTATGCTGGCGGACGCAGGTGAGAACCAGCCCTCCCATCCCAAACTTCTGCTCAGCACAGGTGGAGCTGAGGGGACAGGCCCTGGTTCTGGGTCAGCCTTTAACATTCTCCCTGGGGTCCCAGGTTTCTTTCCAGAGAGAGCTCTCAGACCAACTCCGGTTTGAACTGCCCTCAACAAGGAAGAGATGCAATAAAGTTCTTTTATTTTTGAGATCCGTGTGAATTCTAGAGGAGGGGGCTTGGGGCTGCTGG